CCCCAAAACCCCAAAACCCCAAAACCCCAAAACCCCTAAAATTATTAGAAATATTGAAATTAAATCAATGGACCCTTTTCAAGATGATGATTTTAGGCAAGGCGCTTCTAAGATTGAGAGCTTGCCTGAGTCAGAGACCGGCACTAATGTGAACTCTTAGTCTGGGGAAGGTACTTCACAACCCTTTTTAGTGTTAAAAAAATTAATCAGCGTTATATAAAATTGTTTAAATTTTTAAAGCGAGTTCGATAAATTGCTCTGCAAAAGATCAGTAGTTCCAAATTCTCAGAATTCTAAGGTAGTGTGTTGGTATGATAAGTTAGATACTCAGTGAGGTTATGGAGACTAATAGATCAGCCATGACCTTGCTTAAGCAAGGAAAATTTGAAAATTGTTACAAGGTTTTGTTAATGGCAGAAGCCAAACTTAAGGAATATGCTGGTAGTGAAGATTTTATTGGTATTTAAGCTGTCTAAAAAGTAGAGGATAACGAATTTAACAGCACAGCTTCTGTGACATACAATAACATCGGCTGATACTATCAAAAGTAAGGATTTTAGCTAGCTTTAGAAAGGAAGATTATCATACAAGTTTGAAATATCTCCAAAAGGCATTGAAATTTAACAAAAAGATACCAAATGATGAGATTAGTCAGAGCAGCACACATCTTAACATTTGAGCATGTTTTAGCTGAGAAGAGAGGCATGAAGAAGCTTATAAGCATGCTAAATATGCTTTAAAATTATTACCAATTGCTCATAAAAAAATGAAACAAAAATTAATAAACGAAGGAGAGGTGCTTTCTAAGAAAGTTAAGGTTGATTATGAGGCTAAATAGAAAGAATCTTATTATGACACTTGTCATTGCCTATCACAACGCTGGTGTTGAGTCAGAGTATTTGAAGAAATACGATGAATCCGAACACCACTTCTTGAACGGGAGTGAAGTAGGTCTTAAGTATTTTGGAAAGATGGATGAAATGACAAGGCTTTTGCAGAGATCATTAGCTCAAATTAAAAGAGTGAAAGCAGCTCAAAGTGTGAAGAAGTGGAAAACTCGTAAAAAGAGCCCTACTGACATGCTGAGTATGACTAGTGATCAAAGTAGAGAGAAAAGGCTACATAACCATAGTGTTCTAAAAGATTCTTCTAGTGAGGATCATAGACTATTCCCAAGATCTAGTAATCGAAGTCCTTCCTCAATTAGTAAGCCACAGAACAAAACCCTCTCTCAAGAAAGACTTAGGATGGCAAACACTCGAAAATCTGGGAATATAAGTGTTATGAAGAAGTCTCATAAGCGACTGATTTCCCATGAGAAAAGCACCATAAAAATTTCTAAAAAGGCTCAAAAGTATATCAAAGCTAGAAAAGATGGAGTTAAGAAAGCCCATCAAGGACCAAGGATAAATATTGAGAAACGTTCAAATTCAAAAATAGATTTCCGAAAACAAAACTCTCTCTCCCCAGAAGGACATTATTCTGATAGTCCGAAGCTTCCAAAAGTAGGAGTTAAGGAAGATCCCTTTCGAAGCAAAGGGAAGTTATATAAAATCCCTGGGAAGAGCAGCTCGTACTTAAAAGGACTCAACTCAACTAGCAATCCTTATTTGCACCAATCCTTAGAGCCCCGGCCTAATCAGAACGATAGCCATAACGAGTACCATACTTTTGGGAATGAGGAAGAGAACTATATGGTTAATAACTTGACAAACAGGGGGTTGAAAAAGAACCAGAACCAATATCTTCAGTACCAAAATAAAACTAAATACGATCCTACTTGTAAATGAGAACTGATAAATTTAGATATGCCTATGAACGAAAACTCTCGGATGAAGACAGGGGAACTTAAAGTGCGCAATTACCTGAGAATGAAGGACAAAGAGCAAAAGCTAAATGCCACCACTGGAGGAAACATCATTCAAAACCAGGAACAGCAATGTAAGTGGCAGTTTTGAAATATAGCTTCGGTTTTTGATAGCTCAAGGCATAGTTATCAATATGAGAGCAAAAGAAGCCTTAGGTCTAGAGCTAGTAATGAGAAAGAGCTAGCGATGGAAAGAGTCAGGAAGATGAACAGGAGCCAGATTAGAGAGAAATAACTACTCTAATTTATCATTCAATGATCCTAGAAATAACTATGAGTCTTTGAACGACTCTCAACCTTTAAGTAACTCGTGTATATATGTTTAGAGCCTAGAAAATTCAAAGTGATAGAAGAGAGAAAGAAAGGCTTAGAGAATAGCCAAAACTTAGCAGATCTCAGACCAAGAAATTACACTCAAATCAATATGAATATTAGCTATGATTCTAGGGACTCAGAACCAAAGTATGCTTTGGATTTTAATTCATAGACAAACTCTCATGAAGTCTAATATCCAACCACCCCATCAAATGATAGCAAATATGACAGATGAAGAACCAAAAAGTATTAGCTTCCCCAAAATTGAGAAAAAGGTGTTTGCAAAGAGAGGAATAGAAGATGACATCGTGATCGAGGATCCAAATGAGCAGACTTATTCAGAATTTCATACCAAGGGTACTGCTCATGGAGCCAACGAGAAAGACCGACACAAAATGGTCAACTCTATTAACCACAATAATGAATGTACATTTTATAAATAATTATTAGCTCCAAAGCCAAAGAATAAAAGCATTCAAGCATCTGAGTCTATTATGGAAAGCAATACGCCAGGAGAAGTTTTAATTAAGAAAAATAATCCTTCAAAAGCAATTCAAGGGAAATATGGCCAAGACAGGAATGAACATTCCCCAATAGAAAAATCAGTGTCTCTTTCCTTTTCCTCCAAATACCCTGAAGATGATGAGAGTCGAAGAGGAATGCAGCAAAATAGTGGAATTATTGATAAGATTGGCGTAAATTTAACTCTTAAGATATTATAGCATATCCAAAATGGCTTAGATACATTAAACAACAATATTTCAAGATTTGAAACCCATATGAAGAATGTTAAAGATATGGGTATCGATCTCCAGACCAAATCAGGCTCTCGTAACATAAGTACTTCTCTTCCTCACCCCTAGCTCCCTCCGACCTCCCTCCTCCTAACGTTCCGAACCCTTCATCGCGTCCTTTTCCCAGCTACCAGAAATCCCACTTGCCTCCAAATCCTGCTGTGGTCAACGCAGGCAGCTTTTCCCAAACGGACAACAGCCTGGTCAACTTGGCCAACCTGCATGACCTCCAAGAGGACTCTATTAAGTTGTAAAATTTAGTCAATGGTTAGGCTAAACTTGGGGTTTTGGGGTTTTGGGGTTTTGGGG